GCCCCCAGGGGGGGCGGGGGAAAAGCCACTGGGCAGCAGAGCGGCTCTGCCCGGCGCCGAGGGGCCCCCCGGGGACGGTCAGCTCTCCCCCAGGCACAAGTCACCGGCTTCCACCGCCAGCTTCATCTTCGCCAAGAGCTCCAGGAAGCTGGTGATCGAGACGGCCTCGTCTCCCGAGGCGCAGGCCGACCTGAAGAGGAACTTGGTGGCCGAGCTGATGAATTTCTCGGGGCAGCGCTCGGCAGCCCCGGCTGCCGCCCAGCAGGGCCCTGGCAAGGTGCAAGCCCACCGAAAACCCAGCAAGATCCCCCCTCCGGTAGCCAAGAAGCCTTCACTTGGCCCAGGGCCGGCTCCTTCCCCCTTGAGCCCGAAGGTGCCAGGGGCAGAGGCGCTGGGCTCCCCCGTGCCGGACGGGAAGGCCAAGGCAGTGCCGGTAGACGAGAGCAGGACTAAGAGTGAGCCGGCAGGGACGGCGGCCTCGGGGATGGAGGGCAGGAGCACCGCGGAGCCGCCAGTGCAGAGCCTCCCTGCACAAGGTACGTGGGCCCGGTTCAGCCCCGCCACGGGACGATGGCACTGTGGGTGCTTGGGCTCCTCAGCCATAGGCTCCCAGCGCAGCACACGGGGGAGCCAAGGTGGCCCCGGGGTGGCCGGGAGAGCCCGGCCATGGGGCCAGACGTGGGGCAGGGCTGTGGGAAGCTGGGGCTCAGGGTAGCTGACGGGCTCTTCCTTCCTGCCTTGCAGATGGACGGGGAGGGACGGCCTGAAGGACGAAGCTGCAGGACTGGTGCCCCCGTGGACAGGAATCCAAAAATCTCTCAGGGACCTGGGCAGGTCAACGGACAAGTGTGGAACTGGCAACTAACTTAATACAAGAAGCAAAGAGCCTTAGCCTCCACGGCCTTGATGATATTTATGCAAAAATGGTGTTGGTTTCACTTTCCTAAGTACTACAGCTTTATTTTGCCTTTTTTTTTTTTTTTTTACTGGACTCAAGGCCCGTGCCGAGCCAGCACCTCCTCCCTGCTGGGCTGCTGCTTGGTTTGTGCGTGCGGAGCAGAGCCGCCGCGCGGAGAGGAGTGTGGGGGCCAAAGACGCTGGAGCTGGAGCCGCTCTGCTCCCAGCCAGCTGGGCCTGCGAGGAATGGAAGCACTTTGGACGAGGGAGTGGGAAGGCTTCGGCCACGGCAGTGCCCGGGGGGACACGGGCAGGAGCAGCAGGACAGGACGGAGGCACTGGTTGGGAGGGACCAGGGCCTCAGCCCTTGATGGAAAGGCAAGAGGGGGCTTGTGGCTACCACCAGTCTCTGCCCGCTGGCCGCAGGGTTGAGGGGGAGCCCAGCTGCCCCGTGAGCTGGTCTTCAGACCCCAGGCTCTGGGGCAGAGCCTCGATTTCTGTTTCTGTAAACTTGGGCCACATTTTGATTTCTTTGATTGTAAAAAACCAAAAAAACCAAAAAAAACCCCAACCCAGACCAAAAGCAACCAACCCTCTGCCGCCGAGTAGCTGCTCCGAGCTCTGTACCTGGCTGGTAAAAATGACGACCGAAGCTTGCTGCCTCCTGTGCTTCCTGGCTTATGGCCACGGCCTCGCCACGCGCGGCGGCTGCCCTGCCCGGGGGCATCGAGCTCTGGGGCAGGCACAGCCCCCACCTGGGCTAGCTGCTGGCACCCCAGCCCACAGGGCTCGCAGTGCTAAAACACAGGAGCAGGGCTGGCTGCCAGCTCAGCCACCTCTCCCCGGACAGACAGGCACACCCGGGCGACGTCAGCTCGATGTTTTATTTGGGTTTAGGACAGACAGATGGCTCCCGAGTCAGTGTTTAAGGCCCGCGCCCCCCACAGCCTCCCAGGGGCTCAGGAGAGACCCACGAGTGCTGCCTGGGCTCCCGACCAAAGAGCAGCACCAGAGTGGCCCCAGCCCCGGGCAGGCTGAGCGCAGAGCAGGGGGTGCCCGGGCGAAGCAGGGGACGGGGCGCGCCTGGCTGCCAGGCAGCTGCCCCCGGCTCCGTTAGCAGCAACAGAGGTTTGAGCAAGCAGCTTTCCCTTTCTGCCCTCACCGCAGCGCCCACGCGTGCCGTCCCAGTCCGGAGCAGCGGGCAGGGCGTCCAGTCCATGGCACAAGTGGGAGCAAGCTGATGGCCCCAGTGTTAGAGCCTGAGGTCACGGGCACAAGTCACACAGGTCCCTTAGGTGTGGTGCCACCGCCAGTCCCCAGAGCTGGCCCACAGCCAAGGCACGGATGCTGGCTGGGCAGGCCGGGGCGGGGGGAGTGTTGGAGGCAGCTCTCTGGCTGCAAATTCAGTCCCAGAGCCCCCAGGTCCCACAGGGCTGAGGCCCCGGCTTGGGGCACTGGGGAGGAGATGGCAGAGACCGGGAAGGAGAGCCTGGCTGAGGTGGTGGAGGGGGCCAGGCAGGAGGCGTGAGCAGCGGCTCTGGCGCTTGTTAGCTGATGCTCCCTCCCTTCAGGCTTTTACAGGAGACTCTCCCCAGCTTGGTCAGGAAGTTTCTCTCCTTCCACTGGGCAACACAGTCCTCGGAGACGCGGAAGTCGGCCTGGGGAGCAGAGCAGCGGAGGTAGAGTCAGGCCTGGGCTGCCAGCGAGGCAGCAGCGCCCTGCTCGGCCGGTGGGAGGTTTGTCTCCTCCACGGCTTTGCTGACAGTAGCGAACACGGGCACTGAGCAGCAAACAGCTCATTTGGAGTCAGCCAGAGGTGGGGACAGTGGTGTCTACATGGCCCTAAGCACTGCCCTACTCAATGCCTGGAGCCCCAGCTACTCCGAGCTGTGGCCCAGCCCCCCGATGCAGCCCCTCACCTGCAGCTTCTCAAAGACCTTCTTCTTTGGCTTGAGCTCGTCGTCGGGCTCCCCGGCCTCATAGCCCTCCACGTAGACGCGCTCCCCAGCGCAGCACCCGGCCGGCGGGTCCAGGGGCTCCACCTGCCGCGGCTCCCCCACACTGCAGAGTGGCAGGGAGGAAGCAGAGTCACCCCGAGGAGGTACTCACCTTCCCCTTGGCACCGCTGGGCTCTGGGGCAGGAGAAGGGGGTCTGGACTGCACCCCTGGAAGGGTACGGCCCTGATGCCCCCTCCCTCACCTGGAGGCACACAGCACCATGCCCTGCGACTCCACACCCCTCATCTTCTGGGGCTTGAGGTTGCAAAGCAGCACCACCAGCCTGTCCTGCAGCTGCTCCTTGGGGACGAACTGCACCAGGCCACTGACCACAGTGCGGGGCTTGGGCTCTCCCACATCAATCTTCTCCACGTACAGGCTGTCAGCATCTGGGTGCTGGCAAGCAGAAGCAAGGTGAGGAGCAGGGGAGGGCACTGGGGTGGCAGAGAAGAAGGAGGCAGACCCCCCATACACACACTGAGTGCTCATGTCACCATGTGGGAAGGTTACGCCTCTCTCCCTGTTGTGCCAGTACCTTTTCCACACTGATCACTTTGCCAACGCGAATGTCCAGCCGGGATGGGACCACGTTCTCTGGCTCTGAGTTCTTGGTGCCCTTCTCTACAGGCTCTGCAGCGCAAAGGGAAGAGTTGTGCCACTCAGCATAAACCCAGGGAGCTGGCCAGGCCCGGAGGAGCACACAGTGACCCCCAAATGCTGGCCCTGATTCCCTGCTTGTCGTATACCACAGAGCACAGCCTCTCCTCCGCTTTCTTGGCCTCTCAAGTACCAGAGAAGCACGCTGGCATCTGTCCTCTCTGGGGCACGCAAACACCCCTGTCATTGGCCTTTGCTCACCCTTCCTAATGCTCTCCGGGGCTGCTCCTGAGACTGAAGTTTCAGAACTTCTCTCTAACCTCAGCCCCTGTGGAGGGACTCTCTCCCACCCAGCCCTGCATGGCCAGGGCCCCACTTCCCCGAGCTCCCAGCACCTCCTTACTGGCTTTGGTCGGGTTGGGATACGCTGCGTCAGTCAGCTTCTTCAGTTCCGGGCTGTTGAATTTCTCTCTGATGGGGTCAAGGAGTTTGTTCAGGGCTACTTCCACCGAGTTCTTCAGGTCTCCGGGATGCACGACCTGTATCGCGACAAACAGACAGGTTCCTGCATGGTTTCCTCCAGGGCACGGGGAGCAGCAGAATTCGAGTCACTGATCTGAGTCCAGAGAGGTAGGAACTGGAGACGACGCAGGGCAGGGAGATGAACTCCAGCACTCACCTGCTCAGCAAAGTCCTTCTCCAGGGCCTCATAGGCTGTGTAGGTTTTGTTTCCTCCCCATTTTTCTTCTCGCAGAACCACAAACTCTGCAACACAGATTTTGAGGCTCAGATTAACCCCCTGCTCAGCCACATAAACCACCCGTCCCACTTAGCCCAATAGCCGAGGGGGACTGCAGCAGGGGCTGGGGAGGGGACACTCCAAGGGCAGCCTGCTTCAGGGGGAGGACACACTCCCATCCCCTCCTCTTACCCACAGGGAAAACTAGCCCCAGCGCCCAAGCATGGTGAGCCCTTCACCTGACTTGAGGGGAAAGAGGACGTGCTTGATGAAGGAGAGGACACCGTTGTTCTCCACATTGCCTGGCTCGCAGAAAGCCTTCTTCAACTTCTTCTTCACATCCTCCTTGCGGTCCAGAAGGTCAATCTTTGAGTCCTGCAGGAACAGATTTCCGCAGCCCTTTACCCAACATCTTGTCCAAAAGCGACAACTCATGCTGGAGTTGCTGCAACTTCTTCCTAGACCCCAGTGTGAGCAGAGAGAAGTCTCTTTCTCTTGGGGTGCAGCCTCTCTGCCCCCAGCCATTAACCCATCCCCTCGCAGAACCCCGGGCCACAGCCACCATTCAGGGACCAACCTCTTCTGATGAGCTCATTTTGCTGCCTGTCAGCCCGGGAACCATTGGATTCATCAAATGGACGCGCTTGGCATAGCCCAGGGAAGGAAGGTACTGGGACAAAGCAAGGACACAAGTCATGGACAGTCCTGAAGATCAGCTTTAAGTCACAATCCCTGTTTGCTCCTGGCTCCAGATAACTTGGGGCACAGAATAACAGGACCCAGAAAGCTACTGCGAGTTCATGAGGTGCTGACAGCCACAGCCAGGGATGTGTGGCAGCACACCAGAGCCCTGCAGACTATGAGAGCAACAGCAGGAGCTGCAAAGGGTGCTGTGGTGCCCACCAAAATCACAGACATACTTCCCCCAATGGACTGGCAAGTGTTTGAGCCCCAAGCCAGGTGTAAGCATCGCAGGGGGCTCAGAAACAACCCCATTCCTCACCTTCTCTGCAAAGGTGAATATCTTCCTCTGATCAACTCCTCCAAACTGTGCGTCGACCTTGAGGTACTCCTCATCCAGGGCCTGCAGAGAGACACATGCAGCTTTGAGACCGGACCCAAGACTCCGCACTCCAGCTGCGTTCAGCCTCTGTCCCCCAGGATCTGCGCAGCCTCTGCCAGGGCACTCCTGCCTGGGGAAGGGCGGGAGCTCTCTTGACTGCCTGCTGTCCTGCTGCTGGCTGGAGCTGCTGTAAAAACAGCTGTGTGCTCGGGTTTATGCCTTATACTGCTGCCAGGTGTAATATTGGGGTGGGATACAGTGACCTTGGCATTCAGCCTCACACATCCCTGCGGTCCTGGCTTCACCCAGCACCTCCCCAGCCAAGAGGCCCTGCCGACCTGCCTCGCCACGCACCTGCAGGCCTGGGTAGAGCAAACCGCTCAGCAATGGGTGCTCCACCTGCTTCACCACCTCCGCTCCCGCCTTCTTTGCATCGTGCTGCGTCACCACGGACGAGAGGCGGTACACGTCCAGCGTGTACTCCCTGTGGGAAGAGACAGCGCTGTTAGCACCGGGGAGGGGGACATCTTTTAGAGTCAATTCACATAAACACTGGTTCTGGCCACATCAAGAAGAGCCAAGGCGTGGAGGCACCTTCGCTTTGTTCCCGGAATGACAGTGCCTTGGAGCAGGCTCAGGAACAGCAGAGCCCCAGGCCAGTCTCTTCCTTCCCGAAAGGCACCCCAGGACTCACTTGCTGAGCTGGTAGTCAGTGCCCCGGACAAACTTCAGCTTTTCCAGGGGCACTCCAATGCTCTCCAGCATGGCTTTGATCACGTTCTCGTAATAGCGGGTGCGCAACTCCAGCAGCTCCCAGGGCGCCTTCATGTTGTCTAGGTAAGCATGGAGGTCAGCAAAGAGTATTGTCACCTAGCACGGAGGGGGACAGAATCAGCGCTGCACTGCGCGGGGGAACTGCAGGTTCTCACCCACCAGTGTGGTGACAAAGTCCTTCAGGGTCCGAGCTCCCGGCCTGCCCACCTACCTCACACCCTGCCTTCAGGAAGTCGGCGATCTTGGACATGGGCACAAAGTAGGCCACGTGCGGCTTGCCCGTGGTGGCGGTCCCCCAGTAGATCTTCAACTCTCGCTCCTTCAGGATAGCCATGAGCTTATCCTCCCCCAGCACCTCCTGTGGAGGGTCCAGACACACACCCGGCACAGCTGAGCCTCCCCGGGCACACGCTGGGGTGGCGGGGGCAGGGCCTGAGCAGG